GGGGGAGAGGCCGCCCCGCTCCTTTCTTTTCTTTACCTTTACCTCTCTCCCTCCCTCGCCTTTTGCCGCCTTTCTCCATTTTCCTGCCCTCTTGGCGCTGCTGCTCCTACTCCCTCCTCTCCACGAGGATCCGTTTCAAAGCAACGTCCAGAAGGAACAAAGCTGGACGGGGAGAAACTAAAACTCTCGGACCCGCGTTTGAGTTTGTCCAGCGGGAATTCTAGGCGGGATTTGCCTCGGCGCCTTAGCGGTGCTCGGCAGCCGGTGCAGCTTTGGATGGTGGTTTCAAACACAGCGATTGTTCCTAGAAGGGGGAAGAGAGCGCGTTTGCCTGCGGGTGTCCCCAAAATCCTTGGCGTAGTTCGTTCCGTTAGTGTGATAATTGCTGCTAATTCGGGTGGAATGTTATTGCATTAATTGTGATGTGGCTGCTTGTGACACTCGGTATCGAGGCGGGGGGAAACAATGCTTTTTGTCCATCATAATTGTAGCAAAATTCCGTAGGGACCAAAATCTGTGCAGCAGCTCAGTAAAATATGTTTCCATAGCGAATTGGAATAATTTTTTTAAAGTGTGTAGAGCTCTGGTTCTTATTTATTGCTTGGGTATTTTGAGTAAATTGCTAGATTTCTCCATTTCTGTTTTGCAGTTCATTGTATCCCTTTCGGTTTTATCAGCTGTGAGATATTTATAGGGCATATTAGGGTAGGATGCACGTGTGTGTTAGAGCACTATTGTGTTGTTAATTGTAGCATTTGTAGGGAAGGGTCTGTAAGGTCTGGTTGTATGAAATACAAGCATGAATTCTCAGACTTGCTTCCTGGGCAGCTTGAATTCAGGTTTTTCCATGAATAAAAGTACTTTGGCTGAATAATTAAGAAGTGCTCAAAAGCATAAATAGCTTCAAATTTGAAGTTTGGGGTTTCTTGGGGGAGGGGTGTTTAGTGAATTTTATTTCCTCTTTCTTGCCGTTTATTTTACCATGAGGTCAGGACTGTTACTTCCAGACTTTTAAAAATTATATGGGTCCTATTGAGGCTTTAAGCAAAAGCTTATGGTTTGATGGTGCATCCTTAGAGATGGTTTCACTGGGAGATCTTGATGCTGAGGAGACAGTAGTTGTTCCAAGTATAGTCCCAGATCTGGTTGGTGCTCAACTCTCTAGAGTCACCTCTTTGGAAAAGCTGTCCTCAGGGCGCCAGTGGGTGCTCACTCTAGTTTTATCCTGTTTGATGTGGTTCTAAGTATTGATTGTTCTATGGTAATGAGTTGGTGTGACTGGTTTATTCTCCTGTCTTTGAGTCATACAGTTGATGTTTGCCTGTTGCTAAGCATGGTCAAGAGTTACGTGAGGTAACAATCATTCCAAGATCCTTCTTTTCGCTTTCTGTCCACCTTGAATTGACTGATGAGCCTCATGGCTCTGTTCACACTTCTGTTGTGGGGTTATGCTCAACACTGGCTTCAAAATGCCAGGGTAGATCTTTGAGCACCCTGAATCTTGTTTCAGAAAAGCCTCATGTGTTAATGATGAACTTCTCAAAGAAACACTTTTTTTTGTTTCCCAAAAAATAATTGTTGCTCCGTGCGTCCTCTACCAACTGCTTCCAAATAGATGGTATTGATGGTAGCTTTTTTTGTAATTAATGTTATGAACTTATATTATTAACCATAATATTTTTTTAAAAGGTGGTGGATGTTTTGTAACACCTTCCATAGTGAAAAGCCATATAAGCTCTTTGTGATGTTCCAGGTCCGAAGATTTGCGCCGCGAGTTTGGTCGTTATGGGCCTATAGTTGATGTGTACGTCCCACTTGACTTCTACACCCGTCGTCCCAGAGGATTTGCCTATGTTCAATATCCTTTCTTCAGATGGCTGATTAGTGAGGGGTGTTGAAGTTTGAAATTCAAGTTTGTGTAAGAGGTAACAAATCTCAATGAAAAAGCAGTTTACTTGTGTGTTGTATCTATTTAGTGTCTTACTTACATTGTGGTGTTTCATTATCTTTGAAGATTAACTTCTCTCAATTGTTCTTTGCCTATTTTGCAAAACTTAAATCAAATCCAGTAATATAAAAGCTTGCTTGTGTCACTGAAATTATTACTAAATGATTTAAATTACAATTTATTGCTGACTCAAAATTGTCTAGCACGTTTTTATTATCACTGGTATGTAAGTAAAGTTGTGCTTAGCAAACTGTGGCTGGTATTCATTGTTAATTTAACAAATGGAAACTGGAATCACTTGATCAAAATCAGAATGTTTAAAAAAAATGAGGTGAACTTCTTTCTTTAATATTGTCCCCTAATTTACTGTCCTCTGTTGTTGCCTCAGAATTTAAAGCTGTACAGTAATGGCGACCCCAAAGAGAAAGCATGAAAGAACCGTTAGAGTAGAGTTCAAGAATTAAGGCAAGTAGACAAGCCAAAGACCTCTTAAGGATCAGGCTTGAAGAGAAGGGAGAGTTTGGGAAAAGAAAAAATAAAGAAAAGCTGGAAGAAGGACAAGCCATAATGGGAGACAAAGCTTCGCTTTATCCACAAAAGGGGGAAAAGGTTGTTTTTCAAAGTAAAAGATAAAGCCATCTGTCATTTTTGGCCAAGCATCTCATGACAAGTCCTTCTGACAAGCACTTAAAGAGTTAAAGGTCAAGATGAAGTTGAATGGTGGCCAAGATTAAAGGAGTCATACCTGATGTATCCTACAGAATAACAGTTTTTCTTCTGTTTGTCACGTAAGCAGTAATTTGATGAATTATTCTGGTTTAGTCCATTGACAAAACCTGTCATATTTCTCTCGTGAGTGCTATTGTGACTGTGGTCTTGAATGAAAGTGTCTGATCAAGATTATATACCTAAAACATGAGAGTTTAGTCTCTGCTTAGATGATGCTGCTGATGAACTGGGTTGCTACAGGGGAAAGGCAATTTGTTCTTGCAGGTCACATAGCTGGAAGGTGATGTGTGAGTTCAAGAGTGGTCAATCTCATGGATTAAAATTAGTAATAATTGTGTTACTGAACATCTGACCTGACAGAGTGCAGGGGGTTACTGTGTGCTTTACCTCAGACTGCTTAAGGTGTGAGCACTTGGAACTTTAAATCAGTTGGTGAAAAAAAGGAAAGCTTACTCCCAAGTCTAAAATTAATAGACACATTAACTTTTGCTGTTGGTATGCCTAATGTAATTTAAGCCCTAGGGTTTAATTTTAGTGAAGTCAATATAGTGGAAAGAACTGAATGACCATTAACAAATCTATTTTGAATAGGATACTGTTGTGTTTTTTTTGTTCCTTGCCTAAGTACAAGTGGGAGAAGAAAAAGGTTGAGTATTGCCTAGCAACTGCTTGCTGATGGATAAGTTCACAGTCATGTGATTATATTTGAATTTTATCATAGGAGTTCTCAGCTGGTGGTTAATTAACAGTAATGATAAATTGAATAGTTTGTGCTGTAGCATGACCTAAAGAACTTAAACAACAAAACAACCTGTAAAATTAGAAAATAACTACTTTTATTTGAAATACCAAAGCTGTAAACTATTCCAATTCCCAAGTACCTTAACACTCCCCACATTTGAAGATGTCCGTGATGCAGAAGATGCTCTTCATAATTTGGATCGAAAGTGGATTTGTGGTCGGCAAATAGAAATCCAGTTTGCACAGGGGGATCGGAAG